TGACAAAGTATTCTGTGATGTCCACAGACAGACCAGTTAAATGACTAGAAGTTGACAGTGCATTCCTTCTGCCTTATTTGGGGCCAGGGCCTGGCAGGTTCTTCTTGGAGGCCAGTGGGGAGAATTATACCCAGAATTGGATCAGAGAAAACAGCCTTTCTACATAACCAGGAGCTCCAGTGCCTCCTTCTCCCTTTGTTCTTCATTGTCTTTACCAGCTTTCCCCAGTGAATTCCTTTTGATCTTCCAGCTGTTAAAGAAGAACCACCGCAGGAGAGGCCCACTGCCAACCAGACTTTGGCCGAGGTGATCACGGAGCAGGCAAACCTCAGCATCAGCGCTGCCCGGTCCTCCAAAGTCCTCTACGTCATCACCACCAGCCCCAGCCACCCACCACAGACCGTCCCAGGTAGCAGTTCCCAGACACCATCGAGGGGGTAGAAGCCACAGAGCTTGAAGGCAGTGTCCTTAGCGGTTACAAATTCAAAGTACTCTTAGGTGTTTCCCATTCCAAGGCAGATTGGGGTCCTGTCTCTGTCACCATGTTTGTCCTGCCCTTTGAGGGACACGTCCTCATTAGCTTGACTCCTTAGTCCTTAAGGAAAAGTGCTCACTGCCATAGAGACAACATGTGTTATGCCTTCTGTACATTATGATTAATCAGCTAATCCAGTGTTTTCTCACATTGAGAATATCTTTCTAGAACCCCAAGTTGTTGCTCCCTAAATTGGCAATTTCAAGAGCTCTACTTATTCATTCATTCGTTCAAAAGATACATAAGTGCTTTAATGGTACCAGGTGCTATTGTAGGCACTGGACTGTACAATGAACTAAACAAATCTCCCCTCCAGTTGGAAGAAAAGACAAGAAGCAAAATAAAAAGTGAGATAGTGATAAGAGCTATGAAGAAAAGTTACGAAGGAGGAGAGAGAGTGGGTAACGGTCTTGTGGTTTAACTTGGTTGGGTACAAACTTGCATTCTCTCTTTTCTGCCAAGGAAATTGGGGCCTTTGGGAGCTGTCAGAGCTGCGGCGTATTGCTGGCAGTTACCTAGCCTGGAGATTTCCAGACTGTGCTCCAGGTCCCCCCAGGACCCTCCACAGAAGGTCAGGGCAGAGAGCCTCTCTGGTGCTTGCCCATCATTTGTTTATGAATCGGATAGGATTTCACAGGTCACACATCTCATTCCTCGGGTGAGAAACTGAGGCCCACAGAGTCTATGTAACTCATTTGTGGTTGCACAGTGGATCCAGTAATGGAGACAGAATGTGCTCCATCGTTTTCGACTGTGAGTCCAGTGCATCTTAGACCACACTGCCTGCCTCTCTCCATGAGGGAGCTCTAAAGTCAGGCGAGGTGCTCAGAAGGCGGGGACTCCATGCAGCCTGGCTCTTAGCTGCATTTGGTGGCTTTTCCCACCTGCAGGGAGCTCCTTGGACAGACCTGCATCTCTGAGCAGCCAGTGGTCCCTCAGGGCTTCCTTCTGAAAACTGAGCTCACACAGGTCTGACGGGCCCTGTCTTTTGCAGGATGGACAGTGTATGGCCTGGCAACTCTCCTCATCCTCACAGTCACAGCCATTGTAGCAAAGATCCTCCTGCACGTCACATTCAGGTGAGTACGACAGAGCTGCCCAATTCCAGGGGCAAAGGCTTAGAGCTCCTTTTCTGCTAGCTTCGTTTGTGGGTAAAAGCGTAATACCAGAACATGACCCCAGAGTCCTCAGACCTAGGAAACATATGACAATAGACTTTCTTCAACTGGACAAATTTCACTAAGGATGAGTGCTTGTGTTTGCTTCGATATCCAAATGATACAGTTTCAAGGGGGATTGAAACAATCTGGGCATAAAAAACAACAATTTCCTTTTTTTTTTGCCCTGTGTTTTAGCCCTGGAAGAGATCTTGATGCAAGAACAAAGATTGCTGGGATGGTACCATGCGTATTTCCTAGTGCCTTTTAGAAACTGGAAAACATTCTTAGGAAGAGAATCTAACATTTATTAACTATTGCTTAATAGTCATTTTAAGGCAATTATTTAAGAAGCTTCGTCCTTCAATTCTGACCATTTGTGAAAAAAACATTTTCTTCCTTTATTTTGCTATTCAGGTTTAGCAGTTCTTCCTTCCAAGAAAGGGCCTACTGAAGTTTGTGTGTTTACAGGGGGGGGGGGTGTTCTAATTTTTTCTAGATATCTACTGTCTTCCCTGTGGCACCCAGTCCAGCTCTCTCCATATTTTTTCCCCCAGTTTTATTGAGATATAATTGATATATAGGTTATCTGCACTTTAAGGCCTTCCTGAATGTTGGTGTCCTGTGAAAGCCACTTTTCCCTTACCTCCTCACTAGCCCTCAGCCACAGATGTTTATACATTAAGTGACGGCTCCTCCAGTGCCCTCTGAAGGCTGCCCTTGGTCATGCTGGGACCACCCACATGCCTCATGCCTCTGCACACTGCGCTTTACATTTTTCAGTGGAAACAGTGTCATTATTGTTTACTGAGCCCACTCACATGCCATATATATTATATATATATATATATATATATTTTTTTTTTTTTTTTTTTTTTTTAAGTCACAATTTACATGTTCTGGAAGCCTCTAGGCACAGTCCTGACCACTGTCTCCCACAGCAGCAGGAGAGCAGGAGGCTTCCTATAGCGCCCAGCAGCTCACGGCGCCCTGCGGCCCTAAAGTGCACGTCTGGCTCCTGCCTGACCCTGGAGCCCCTCTGCAGCTTCCCTGCCGCGCAGCACTGGTGCTGAGGCAAGACCCAGTCCCGCAGAGTAATTCTGCCTTAGTCCCGTTTTAACTAGGTAAATGTAACGTGAAGAAAGCATTCTTCTATATTAAAAAAAAAAAAAAAATGAATTTGAAAACTGTCTCTCAGGACAGCCCTTTGCAGATTTGAATAATTCTGCCAGTTAGCAAGTTCTTTGTTACACTGAGCTGGAATCCGCCCCGCTGCATTCCCACCCCTCAGGACACGTTTCTCCCGCACAATAGCCCTCAGATCCCTGCAGCCAGCGCTTAGGTCTTTCCCGTGACCTCCCCTCACCGAGCGCCCCGTTTCATAGGTACAGGCCTCTCATGCGACAGAGGTTGTTTGGTCTGCTTTGTTGTTTGGTCTTGTCAGGAAGAACTCTTAAGTTATTTTTGTTTGACAGATCACACCGCGTTCCTGCTTCAGGGGACCTTAGGGATTGTCGTCAACCAGGGACATCAGGAGAAATCTGGAGCATTTTCTATAAGCCTTCTACTTCGATTTCCATCTTTAAGAAGAAGCTCAAGGGTCAGAGTCAACACGATGACCGTAATCCTCTTGTGAGTGACTAAAAGTTCCCCCATGCCCAGGACGGGAGGTTCCTCTGAGCTCAAGGCCACGGGGACCACCTCTCCCGTGGTTTCCTCTGATGGACGCTTCCCTGCCTCTCCCTTGGCCTCTTCAGGGGCACCTGCGATGGACTGGGAAGGGGCGCCCCGCTGCAGGGGCAGGCGTAGCCTGGATTTGTCCTGCTTCATCAGCTGCACTTAGGAGAGAAACTCAAAGTCCCAGGGTCTGGCCCTCGTGTGTGTGTGTGTGTGTGTGTGTGTGTGTGTGTGTGTGATCCAGGAATGGGGGTGTCGGGACACTGGGGCTGAGATGACAAAGATAGTTGTGTCCAGCACTGGGTTCAGGTATATTTTAGATGACTGTCAGGTGGTGGTAAGTGTAGTGTGCCTTGAGTCTTGCTTGCTTCTTCTCTGTTTTGCCCACACATAGATCACTTTCTCCTGGTCTTTATGGTTTAGAAGAAGGCCAGGCAGGGAATTCTGAGGCTCTCTTGAGGGTTGGCCTGGTCCCCTACTCCTGGGTATTAGCATCCCAAAGCGCTAACGAGGGCCCATGCTCTGTGCTGACTCGGCTTTGCTCTCCAGACGCTGAATGAGAAAAGGCCTTCCAGTCTTGGGCAGCCTGAGAATTAGGTCTTCTGACCCCCATTCATGTCAAACCTCTGGCCTCCCAGGTTCCCTCTTTGCAGCACTTTGCCTCGTCTCCCCAAGTCCCTGAGCCACTGCCTGCCGCGGCCCTTCCTGGGGTTCTGCCACATTGGCAACCCGTCTGACACTGGCTGCTGGGAGGTGTCCACAGGGAGAAGTAACACTTGGCAACCAGGGGAGATGGTAGGAGCTGGAGGCAGAGGGGCCTTCAGAAGGGGAATGAGGCCGTGTGTCCACAGGGGGCAGGGGCATTGCTCCAGGCACCATGTGAGATCCACCACAAGCATGGATCTGCTTTGATCTGAAAAGGCCCGTTTCCCGGGAGCAGCTGTCCGCAGACCCAGGGTCTGGAGACAGGTCTGTCCCTTTAAGGACCACTGGAAATATACTGGCATGTGCGGTCTTCCTTCCAAACTATTCCTGGATTTTGAGGAATCTCTTCTCAAACACAAGTGTCAGGTGTGCAGTAACAAAGGGCCCTGAGCTGTGAATAGACCCACATCCAAGGGAATGTGGAATTTGGCCAGCAGGCAGTGCAGCTGCCAAAGACTTACTCTGATCACGGGCTCACCCTGCTCACCTCACACGCTGGTCACAGGGGCCAAGCCCCAGGCCAGTGTGTTTGTTGTCTGAGCTGTAGCAGGATCAGCCCTTTCGCAGAGATCCTGGGAGCGCTGGTGACGCCCCAGTGCTCTCCTTCCGACTGGACCTGGAACAGCCCAGTGCCGCCAGGATCAACTTACTGCCCAAGGAGGGGCCTCGGGAATCCCAAACCAGCCTCAGGACAGCCTGGGGAAGAGCCATAAATCTTCTCGGCCATGTCTTGGTTGGAGCCTGTGGGCAGCACCCCACAGAGGGTCCCTGTGGCTGAGTAAACAGCTGAGAAAGAAAGAGTGAGGTGTGCCTCCAGGAGGCACTTGGCCTTCTGAGACACTGCTTTAGAAGAGAGAGATTGGGGGCTGCGGGTGATTGGGAAGGGCGACCCTGAGGAAAGCCCATCACAGATCACATAGCGGAAGATGATGAAAGAGGAAGGGGAGGGGCTCTGGGGAGTGGTCAGTGGCTCTGAGAGCATCCGGTCCACAGCCTCTGCCCTGAGGAGGGTGAATGGAGGAGGCTGCAAGTGGTGCCTCAGGACCTGCGTGCCCTCCTCATCCTGTGCACCGTGGTACCCAGGCCCTGCCTCTCCGCGGGTGTCCCAACATGAGGGCAGGCGCTCTCTTGCTGCCTCCCCTTTCCTTCGCCCTGTCTCACAGTGCCCTTGGCCCCTCAGTGCCCTGTGTTCTTTCTCCCCGTGTGTCACCCTCACAGAGCAGAGAAGGAGTGGGAATGAACCCCGGCTACCTACCCCACACCCCAATGTCAGAACAGGGTATAAGCGAGGAGAGGTGATTGCTGTAACTTCTGAAGTTTGGGCTCTGGCTCAAGACTCCAATCAGCCAGAAACCCACAAAGATCAAAGCACTAGTGAGCGCCGCTGCCATCCTGGACCTCAGGCCAAGCCTGTGGGGAAAGGCCTGCCACACGCCGTCATCGGCTCGGGCAGAAGCCGGCCTGACCCAGCCGAGGATCTGGCCAGGCCATCCCAGCACCAGCGGGCACGCAGGCTGTCGCCAAGCCTCTGCATCCCATCCGAGCACTTAATCCTGACCAGCACTTAGCGGACGGCCTCAGAGATCCCGTCTCCCTGCCTGTCGAGGCCGCCCCAGGTCTCCCACAGAGCAGGCCAGCTCCACCCTGTAGCCAGTCAGCTGGCACCCTCTTGGGTTGCAAATCTCCTCTTCAGCGTTTGATGCCGGCTATTGTTACTACCTTGGGAATTTTAACCTTTTACTTGTTTCCTCTGGTGTCTTTGTTTACCTTCCTCACTCTTCTACCTCCTGGCCAGGTCTCTCAGCTTAGCTGCCCTGGCGTGGGGTGTCTCTCAAACCTTCCAGCCGCAGCTGCCTCCCCTCAGGCTGGCCGGCTCAGGGGTGAGAGGGCCTCCCCCTCTGCCTGCAGAACCAGGGGGCGCCCATTGCACAGGCTTCCGTCTTGTGAGTCCAGCACGCTCCTCGAGGCGGAAGTGGGGTGTGGAGGAAAGTCCGAGGCAAATCTGCTTCAGAAAGAAGGTGTCCCCCGGAGCACGTGGCGGGAGCTGCCACCACAGGGGTCACGCAGCGCCCAGGCCTGCCCATGTCCAGGCTCACCTTCCCGTGGGGATCTTGACTTTGGATGACAAGGCTTTATTTGTAAATATGCTCTCAATATGCAACTTTGAGAATAAAATAGAAACATCCTGTATTTTAAAATATAAGATGAAGTGTGACGCACTGTATACAATTTAATATATATTTTTAGGGTTTTGTTATTTAAGAAAATGGAATGTAATGGTACTTAACTTTTACAAAAGAGAGGAAAATGTTATTTTTACTGCCTGGAGAAAATAAATGTTCTCATTGTTGTAGAAACGGGGTGCGCCCTGGCTTGTCGTCTTTGTGGGCGCCCTCCCGAACCCCTGGCCAAGGACAGCGTCACACGCAGGGAGACCCTCGGCTCTTTCTAACAGGTGCCCATGCCAGCCTGTACCTCCGGCTCAGTTTTTCCCAAGTGTCTCCAGGTTCCCTCAAGTCTCGCCGCAGCTTTGACCCGCAGTGACCTTCAGCTGGTAAGATCTGGAAGAGTTGGAATTCCAAATGAGCACGTCACTTCTCGGGGATGAGCAGAAAAACTTAGATCTGAATCCTCCTTGAGGTGGCAATCCACTTCTCAGCCTCAGTCTCCCCTCCCTGTAAATGTAAAAGCATCTGTGCCCCAGAAGGCGATGAAGATTAAGTGAGAAAAGATGTCTAAAACACTCATGTAGTTATTATCCCATGTGGAATTCATCTTGCCTTTCAGAGCAGCCAGTTCTTCCTCTGCCCACCCTCCGTAGTAATAACACCCATGGAAGCTCCATGTGAGGTGCCCGCTCTGCGCCCAGCACTCGCCTGTCGGGCACTGCGCATACCCACCCGGACAGCCTTTCTGCAGGTACTGTCGCCCTGTTTGGTCAGAGAGGAAACAGGCTCAGAGTGCGGCATGGGGGTGGCACAGCCCTAGAGTCAGCCTATAGGATTCAGCTCCCACCACTCCTTCGCTGAGAGGCCAGGAAGTGGAAAACAGGGAGGCTCCAGAGGATTTCGGTGGGGGAGTGACGTCAGATTCCTAGTTTAGAAGGATAGACACTTGCATTAGGAAAAACAGATGGGAGTGGGATAAGACCGAGGGTGAGGAGGCCCATCAGAGCCTCGGAGGTACACAATTGAGAGACTCGGGGGAGCTGAACAGGCCCCCACACCAGCACTGTGGGAGGGGAGAACTAGGTGAAAGTAAGCTGACTACACCCATGGCCCAGGGGTAGGTACTCGGGGCCTGGGCTCACATCCCCACCCCACCACTTACTGAGTGACTCAGCCCTGCGTGCCTGCTTTCTCCTCTCTCAGATTGGGGCAATTCAGTAACCACCCAGAGTATTGTGGCGGGTTATTATCTTAGTTTCAGTAAATGGTAGCTGTGCCTGGTTATTGTCGAGTAGAGGTGGGGGGGTTAAGAACAAGGAGATGTGTCTAGGATATAGCTCACACTTATTTCAATGGTTAATACTAGAAATATTTTCAAAGGTCTTTATTCAGAAGTCTGGTGATGTGTTGTGAGCAGAAACATGCCGTAGGAACCTGACTCCTGTCTATCTCCATTAGCCTATGGTAAAATTAGTTCCATTATACTTCCGTTCACGTAAAGTCACAGTTTCCCAGAACCTATAACAATGTTGAGTGAGGGCTAAGCGTAGTTCTCTGGCAGGCATATTACCTGGACATGGAGTCTGTGGCCCTCTCTTTCTCTCTGTCCTCTCCCCGGCTGACTTTGGCCTACACCACAGCAGCCAGCTCTAACCTTGCAGTGGCTGTTGCAATATCATGGCCCCTAAAAGCTTCACGCTAGTGTTTCTCTTCTCTGAGCTTTCCCTCCCTCTTTCCCAGGAACTCTTTTTGACTTTGTAGAATGCTAAGTATGGTTGGTATACAATATCACCTTCCAGGTGCACAGCATAGTGATTCAACATTTATTTGCTTTACAATGTGGTCTTCCCACTACGTCTAGTAATCACCTATCGCCAGACAGAGTTACCACAACATTACTGACTATATTCCCCTTCATCTTTTCTACCTGTTCCCCCACCACCACCCTCTGCTGTTCTGGCAGCCATCAGTTCCATCTGTTTCTATGAGGCTGCTGTTTTTGTTGTGTGTTGTTTGTGCATTTGCGTGTTGTTGTTTTAGATTCCACATATAAGTGAAACCATATGGTATTTGTCTTCATCTGACTCTCTAGTTCTATCCATGTCACATATGGCAAGATTTTTTTTTTTGATGAATAAACTTCCATTGTGTGTGTGTGTGTGTGTGTGTGTGTGTGTATCACATCTTTATCCATTCATCAATCAATGAACATCTAGGTTGCTTTTATATTTTGGCTATTAAAAGACACTGCAATGAACATAAAGGTATACATATCTTTTTTTAATTTATCTTGTTGAGAATATTACAGATATCCTCCATTTCTCCCCCATTATCCTCTTCCATCTGGCTCCCTCCCCATCCCAGACCTTCACTGCTCTATTGTCTGTATCCATGGCTTATGCATGCATATATGCATGTAAGTTATTTGGTTAATCTCTGCATATATCTTTTAATTTTTCAGATAGATACCCAGAAGTAGAATTGCTGGGTAATATGGTAGATCCATTTTTTTGTTTTTGGAGAAATCTCCATACTGCTTTCCACAGTGGCTCACCAATTGGCAGTCCCATCAACAGTGCACAAGATTCTCTTTTCTCCACGGTTTCACCAACACGTTATTCATGGACTTTTTTACAATAGCCATCTGACAGGTGTGAGGTGGTATCTTATTGTGGTTTTGATTTTCCTTTCCCTGATAATTAATTGAGCCTTGTTTCATATGTCTGTTGGCGTCTGTATGTCTTTGGAGAAATGTTTGTTCTGCCCTCTGCCCGTTCTTTAGTTGGATAGGTTATTTTTTGTTAGTGAGTTCTATGAGCTCCTTATACAGTTTGGTCATTAACCCCTTAGCATGTGTGAATATATTCTGAAGGAGAATGTTTTCATGGCTGGTGGAAAACAAATGGTAAAGCCACTGGTAAACTTCTGAGGGACAGCTTAGCCTGCAGCAGAAAAACAAATGCAGTCGGAATGTGCAGCTGTCCTGCCTGAAGCAGGACCAGGAAGAGCACCCAAACCCATCTGCGTGGACTTTGGGCACCGCTGACCTTCACCTCATCTCCTTGTTTTCCGAAACCTGAACGATTCGGACATTGCAAAGCCCGCCCTCCGGGGAGCTCACACCAGGGCAGCGTCAGCCTCGTCCTTTGTCAAGCAATCAAAGGCTCTTCTTCCTGCGGAGACGGAAAGGGCTGGACAAGGGTGACCTTGTCTCCAAGCTTGGAAATCACATGATCATCTCTTCTTCCCCCCTGGGCTGTGCGAGCCTGAAACTGCAGACTAGTCTCTGGGACGCTGAGAACTGGAGCGCTTTTGTTCCTCTGTGGCGGGGTCGGGTCCCTGTGGGGGATTGTTTTTGCTTGGCTGAAAGGGGAACTCGGGGGACAGAATAGTTCAACCTCAAGAAGCAGCAACATTTGCTTGTAGCTGGAAGTCTTTGTTTCTGGTCTCCAGCTGTTGTCTGGAGCCACCCGGCCCCCGCTGTATGGGACTCCACCCAGCAACTGGGGGCAGGCAGCACTGGGCTCGGCTGGCCATGGACCAGCCCGTGTCCAGGGGGCCCGTCTCCAGAACGCCCCCAGCCCTCCCAACGGTGGACACTGGGCCCCAGAATGTACGAACCTGCTGGCTGTGGATGATGGGGCTGAGGAACCAGGCTCCACAGAGAAGCGTTTTAGGAGGAAAATAGATCCAAGTCTGAGGTCCAGGCTCCCTCCTCAGGGGGGAGAAAACAGAAAGGTCTAAAACAGCCCAGGCTTTTGCAACCGAGAAGGTTCAGATTTCACTTATTTCACTCTTAGGAACGTTCACCACTGTCCCTGTACAAACCTAACCGGGCGCCCACTGTTTTGCACACCCCGACCAAGGGACTATGTTTCATGGGCTTGCCATTGTTGCTGGTGCCACAGATGAATCGGATCAAGGGCATTTGAGGGGTATTCAAACCTCATATTTAACCTAATAGGGGGCAGCTTTTTACAAGTCCTGGGGCAAGCTGAGGAAAGAGCTTTTGAATGTGTAAGGATGGTGATAGTAATGGCAGTAGCCGCAGCGAGCATTTCTGCGGTCCCCCCTACCAGTATGTGTGTGAGCCGCTGTACTGAGCACTCAACAGACATTACTGAGTTCATCCGTGTGACAGCCCAGCCTGGGGAACGGAGGCTCAGAGCGGGGCAAGGCCAGGATCCAGCCCGCTCCAAAGCCAGGGCTCCGTATGCCAGTTGCACTTCAGGCCCCTTGGGGCAGGCAGGTGGCTCTGGGAAAGGTCCCGAGCTCCCAAATATCTCATCCTCACCGTGTTGCCTCCACCCAGCCCGGAAAAGTACCGATCACTTTGCCTGGGGCGAGGAAGGCAGCAAACCTACACTTCTTGCCCCTACAGCCAAGGCTCAGAGGGTGAG